ACAGAGGTGCTGGGCGCTGTGGTCTCTGTGCTCACCATCTGGGTGGTGACGGCCGTGCTCGTCTACATGGCCGTCGAGCGGATGGCCCATGGACACTACGACATCGACGCCGACACGATGCTCGTCGTCTCCGGCATCGGTGTGCTCGTCAACATCATGTGAGTGGGGGACCCGCCTGGCTTGAGTGGGTTGGTTATACCAGGTGGTTTTGCACTGCGACTGCAGGTGCATTTCGTGTGGTATAAGCCTAAAAATGGGTGACTTTGAATTACGTAATGTGATATACAGAACGGGTTAAACTGGTTTATGAATTGCTGGTTGTTGGCATTTTTGGCTACCAAATGCTAAAGCGGGCTGTAAGGTAAAGGACAAAGGTGAACCAAACATTTGGTGCATCAATGGCATCTCTAATGGCGCTGCCTATCCGCGGTCGGCCGGTACCTAGATATCGCTCCTATCGCGCAGATAAAGTGATGACTGGGGGTTGCGGAATGCCTGCAGTTAGCACGGCCGGGAACCGGAAGATATAGTTATCTTTTTATAGTCATTTGATATGCTTATCTTCTTTCTTTAACGTCATCAATTGCTCTATATGTGCATAGTATTGTCGTACCCAGGGCACTAGTCGTACCATTGACTCGAAATGTATAAATCGTTAATGATGGTTGTTTTAACAGGTCGTTTGTGACATCTTTTCCTTGGTTTTTACTGTATATCCGCTGTTTCTGATGTTTTCACGTATTTTTTTTTTTCGTATCTTCCACGGACCAGAATATTATATACCTATTCGTTTATTGCCCTCTACTTTTGTTCCAATTGCGCTGTTCTGACCGGCCGGGCCGTGACGGTCTCGGTCCAGCTACGCTGCAGCATTGGCATCCCAACGCGCCCGACCTGACGCCGGCGCCGCCGCTGTGTATCGTGTCCCATCTGACGCCTGCCGCCGCTATGTATCGTGTCCCATCTGACGCCGGCCGCCGCCGCTGTGTGTCGAATCCCATCTGACGCCGGCCTCCTGTGTCTACCCTGACGCCACCGCCGCCGCTATGGTTGGTGTATGTCTCCCTTGACGCCGGCCGCCGCCGCTGTGTATCGAATGATCTGACGCCGGCCGCCGCCGCTGTCCGCAGAATGGGTGCCCTGCTTCACGGCCGGTGCCTGGGCTCGGGCCACGGCCACAGCCACGGCCTCAGCTCGAGTCACAGTCACAGTCACAGTCACGGTCACAGTCACGGCGGCGAGCGGTCGGCCACGGAGAACATAAATGTGCGCGCCGCTACCATCCACGTGCTGGGAGACCTGATCCAGAGCATCGGCGTGCTCGTGGCCGCGCTCATCATCAAGTTCAAGGTACGCACACGTCGAACTGGCGAAAAGTATTGCATTTGACTCAACCCATTCACTACTCGGCTGCTTGTTTTCAAATGGCTTCTGAAGTTGTCATCTTGTTTGCATCTTATTAAAATCGTTCTAATCGTCTAGTTTCTTTGTGAGCCTGTATTTCGATCTCGCCTGGTACGCGTGTTTCTGCATCAGTGCTTGCAAGAGATTACTTGTGTGTGACCGCTGAGGATCTTTTTGTATGTTCGAAAGTCTGTATGAATATTTTGCCAGTGTAGGAGCAATTAAGCCCATTATGAGTGCTTTATTAGTGTATGAACACTTAGACCTCCCGTTTCGTCTAGTTCCGATCTCGTTTCGTCTCTTTGTGACCCCCGTTTCCAGTGTATGACCGTCCGCCCTGTTCCTCTCCCGCTGTCAGCCCGAGTACCGGATCGCGGACCCGATCTGCACGCTGCTGTTCTCGGCTATTGTGATGGCCACCACGGTCGGTGTGATGCGGGATGCCACCCGGATACTGATGGAGAGCACCCCCGACTCGGTCCAGTACAGGTACGGCACAATATAGCACACTACAGACGTACAGTACAGGAACAGTACAGTACAGCTGCACACGTCCAATACAGGTACGAACCGACGGGACGGAGGGGGAGGGGGACTGTAGTGGACGGTCGGTCGGGCAATGGCCAGTGAACAATGCTGTGTGCATACTAGGTCAGATTAGCGATGATTACAACGGATATTACGATATTTAGCTTCCGGCTGCCGCCATCACAAACCTAGCTCTGCATGTTTAGTAAGGAAGTCAGCGGTATTTTATTCAGCTTGAGTATTTTTCAACCTGGCCACGTTATCTAGACTCAGATAAGATTTTGGAATGTTTGAATTGGTAAATTTGGGAATATCATACGCAGTGTGCAAAAGCCCAGACGGCATTCGATCGAAATGAAAAGATGGAGTGATACGGCCAGAGTTGTAAGGCACACTCATCAGTGCGCTGTCTTGGTGCCGGTGCTGTTTTTCTGTGGCCGTGAATCGTGACTGGACACCGGTAATTATCCAGGTAATGGCCGTTGGTAACACTGTATCGAGCAGAGTGTTCACTGTTAACACTCCGTCTGTCAGTGATGAAACCACTGGTAACACTCCTAGCTGTCCGCCAGCTCATGCTCTATGCTACTTCCTGACTGTCCGCCGGCTCGGTGGTAACACTCCTTCTCTGTCCGCCAGCTCTGTTGTAACATGTAACACTCCCTGTCTGTCCTACAGCGCGGTGCTTTGTGACCTGGAGGGGATTGAAGGTGTGGTGAACGTCCACGACCTCAACATCTGGTCACTGAGCGTCGACAGGACCGCCATCACTGCTCACCTCACTAAAGGTGAGCTTCGCGGCGTGCCCAGCCCCAGCCGTAACTGTGAGCGTGTGTGCTGTGTGTCGTCAGCTCAGCAGTCAGTGTAGCGTAAATTGGCGTACGCTCAGCTAGTATATTGTCTCACGGTGATATACGTAACTATGCACTGATGTTTTATCCTGCTCGGTGCAGCTGAAACTGGCCGTGTTCTGTCAGCGGTTGATCCGATAGTCCTCCCTTTGTTTTGACCCAGCTCAGGGCTCAGACGCATGTGCTGTGTGCGGTCGGTCCAGCATGGGACATGTGCCGCGTCTTTGACCCATCTCCGCAGCACTGACGTTTGGCTCGCTCCGTCAGAGTCGGGCGCCGACGGTGACCAGATCCTGCGGACCGCTCTGGCGCTGCTGCGGCTCCGGCACGGCGTCCAAAATACCACCGTCCAGGTCGAGCCCTACGACGCCGCCATGGAGGCGTGCGAGGCGTGCCAGGTGCCTCCGCCGAGCGGTGATGGACGCCGGTGAGGCCCGTACGCCCGCCGGTGAGCCGTGAGGTCGGTCCGCCCGCCGGCCGCCGCACTAACTCCGCCAGTATGGACCGAGGCCAGGCGGCGGCACCCGACAGGTGCCGTCCCGACCGCGGCCACCAGCTTGCGTTCGTTTGTTGTACTCGTTTATTTGTTGCTACCTGAGATACCTTAGTTATCCGAGTGCAGTGAGCACGCTGTCACCCGTCCGCCCGATGATATTCATAATACGCAGTGCAACAAACCATTGGTTGAGGAGATTATTTTGGGGGAGGGATGTCTGGGACGAATGTTCTGAAATGTTAGCGCTGTGTATGAGAAATTCCTTGACGTTTCTGCATCCGCGGAATGAGACCTGAAAGTTAACAACTTGCTCTTCTTTTAAGCAAATATAGCGCAGAGTGCCTTGAGTGCAATAAGAAGCCAATCATACGTGTATTACGCCTAAATTGTAGTCGACGTAGTTTCATTCTCAACTTCAATGTCGGTGCCGCCTGATGGTTGTGGCAAACCCTTTACTCTATATGGCCATTGTGAAAATATAACGTAACTTGTGTAAGTCTATGGATAGTAATACTGGAAACCTACACATTCATTTCATTGCTTAATATTCATATTTATTTTTGTTAAGTAGTTCTAGAGTAAAAAAAAAAAATGATTTGTAACGAGATATTGTGTTGTTCCTCTACATTCGATTCCACTGTAGAACGTAGCATAACATGCTGCTTTTCTTATGCATGGCTGTTTTTCGATTGATCAAACATTTCCTATTTACCCCCGTTAATAGGGCGGATTCGTTGCAAATCGTTAACGTGTGATTCCAGCGTGAGCCATGGTTTTCCAGGACGGCTGCTGTGTGATGTCTGTGTCTGTGATGTGAAACCTCAATATCCAATATCCTATCATGACTCAGTACCCACCCAGAGTGAGTAATGTGGTGTTGTACGCACACCGCACGTATGTGCCAGACGGTGTAGGTTCCGTGGCGTTCGGAAAGTGAGCTGAGAGCCTGTTGTGACCGCGATGCTTGGAGTTCCGACCAGGGTTGCCTTATGGTACCCTCGCCCCTGGACGACCATCCCAGGGTCCGCTAGTACCCGGGGCTCCTGCGAGGTCGGCTCAGGCCGTTAGGGGTCGCGTCACCTAACTACGCGAATGGAGTGTGGTGCCGCACACTTGGGGTAGACGTGATCAATGTGCTAAACCATTAGACGTGAACAGAAATACTTAGTTTTATATATCGGTGCATGACACTGGCGGTTTGACAGTTAAAACCCGCCTTTGGGTGTGTGATGTTTTGTACCATTCCCGAATACAAAGGCCATTTCGTGACCTGTGTCCGTCCACTCCACCGACTGGGAATACACCATTTTGCTGCCGGGCGCATATAGCCATGCAGTCTCTTTGAACACTGGATGACTATTGGGAGAAGGGCGCGTCGATATGGATTTTAACCTGCCTCGTTTAATATTTTCACCCTACTATGCTGTACCTTCATCGACTGAATGCTAGAGCTGCGATGGTTCTGACGGAAAAGTCTTACCGAGAGATGAAGCCCGATGAAGTGGTAATCCCATTCTGCACGGGCGGAAAGGTTCAGCACAATGTTTTACTGAGGATCGGAAATGTTTTAAGGAAGGATCGGTATACAAGTTCCGTATACAAGTTCTGAAGTTCCGTCACGTAGGCCCGATTTCTACTGACGATTTCTACGATTTCAGTAATTTCCGTTTGATACAATATCGTGGCATCTATAACATCCCATCTGAATGCATACTACTCCGCCGCTACAAAATTGTTGAAATGCACAACACATCATTCTCATCCACGTTTGACGCAAATCAGATCAACAGTTTAACACTAGCATTGGCTGCAGGAGCGGGGCATGCAATATTACAAGACGATTGTTACACATTATTTGTCCCTTGTCCGTAAGACCGTGATCTCAAGATCTTTATGTGATTAAAGCAGCATCAACATTAATACCAGATCGCTAGATAAAACGATGCTTCACATCTCATGTAATTATTTCCTTATAATTTGGTGCCGTATTTTAAACTTATGCACAGCTTCAATAAATGGCTCGGCTGCACAACAGCTCTGTATATCTGGTGCTGCTACGACACAAAAGCTCAATATACGACGCACGTAAGCCGCACTGTCGATATGGCACATCCCCGCTCCTATCTCCTCACTGGGTTCTGAGAGCGTCCGTGGGCAGCGTCCACCGACACAGCACGGCTCCGGCCGTCGGGAGCCCGCCTGGCACTGATGGGAGAGCGGCGGCATCTAACGCGTCACTGCGCCTGCACCACGCACTGATTGCACTACCGCGTCACTGTACAGTGCGCAGTACGCACTGAGCGCACCGCACTGTGTATCAGGTCAACAGCGGAGGCCATTTGTCCACAGTGGCCACCATTGCACTCGGACGCACCTTCAGACAGCGAGTCTCCCGGATGTCTCCGCTGCGCGCCCCTCAAAAGTCCCAGGTGTTCTCCTGATTCAGCTGGAGTCCGGCCATGTCGGTGACGAGACGGTCACGCACGATCTGCTCGCCTGAAACACGGGGATGCACATGTCAGAAGGAACAGCTCAAATATGCAGGCATCGCGCAATTGGTGCATATGCAGACACGCATCCTGTAAAGGTGGACTTTTAAAAGTAATGATTCAACAGCGGTCCAACAGAAATTTTATGGTTGCAGTGATATGCAATTATACCAATGCATTCATATACCACAACATAAAAAAATGATTCACGCGTCGCATTGAAGAAGTAAGGTACCAAATCAAAAATGAATACGGAAGGATATCGTAGGGAGGGTAATCGTCGTAAGGAAGGTAGGGAACGTAAAACCCATCAGACAGTGAACGACATAGCTATTGACCCACGGTGAAACCATGGATCCATGGTGAAACCGAATAGCCAACATTGACGGCTCCTCCGCTCACCTTACACACCCCCAGCACTGGAAGAGCTCAGTCTGGCGAGTCTGGCTCACCTTCGAGCAGGGTGGCCTCGCTGACGGGCACGTCCGGCCGCAGCAGGTGGCTGAGCGGCGGAGCGCGCCGGCACTGACGCACCAGGAACGGGTGCGTCAGCAGCTGGGCCGGCGTCGGCCGCCGCGACGGCTCCCGGTCCACGCACAGTCGCACGAACTGGTGGAACGCGTCCGAGAACCGGCGCCCGGGCGCGGCGCGCATCAGCCGCAGAGAGGTGTCTGCGGCGGACAGGGACACACGGTCATTCGGAGGAGCGGCCGGCCGGCCGGTCAGCCACCGCCACCCCAGACACTCGGCTGAGGAACGTGCTACCGCCTCGACACAGTGTAATGGATAGTTCCATCTAACAATATAATCAGTGTGATGACTAAATGTAATGCACTAACTAATAGGTACCTAAATTTGAGTTCCGACGTTCTACTGCAGACTAGCACTGGATTAGGTAGGCACCATCACCCCACCCTGCTCCGAAACCAATGAATGGCCTTGGCACACCGACCGCCGCAGCTTCCCTGGTCCGTCCTACACGATACCGGCCAACCTCCACTGCTGATCCTACCTATGCTATCGACCATCCCCTAGTCCTTGAGCTCCCATGCCGACCCGACGCCGTCCCGTCAGCCCCGTCTACGCGCCCCATCGGCCACTGACCGTCTCCGTGCCAACCCTCCACCATCCCTTCGGTCAATAACCCTGACCCGCCTGGTCAACGCCCCGTGTCAAACCCACCCGTCCCATCATCCACTGACCATCCTCGTGCACGGCCGGGTCGTCTGTGTCGTTCTGCTCCTGGACGCGCTCAGCATAACCAGCATCGATAGTGGTGGCGTCGAGCAGCACGGGCTCACCCTCGCCGGCCAGCTTTTCGTGCAGCATGGCGGCCGGCGGCATCTGGGCGAACGGCTCCAGACCGTTGGCCAGCTCGCACGCGGTGATGCCCAGGCTGTACACGTCGGAGGAGGCCGTGTAGCCGCGCAGGTCCTGTCGGCCGACCGGCAGATGGTAAATAGAAGGCGTGCGGTAGAGCGGAGTGGGCCATGGGGACAGTCAGACGCACGGTATAAGAGGAGTGAGTCGTGGGGATAGCCAGCGCACGTTATGAGGGATCGAGGTGCTACAGTGCTCACACCCAATGTTGGTACTGACCCTACAAGGTGGGGGCCGGTATCTCTCGGTGCTAAGTCAGCATTTATCTCTGTATCTGAGCTACTGCTGTTGGTAAATGGTAACTCACCTGAGCTAGTATCTGAGAACTGAGCCGGTGTCTCTATATGAGCCAGTATATCCGACCCGTGCCTCAGCCAGTGCCTCACCTGAGCGAGTATCTCTGGACTGAGCCAGTTGAGGCCGTCGGCGGCCAGCTCGGGGAACTGGTGGATGCGCGCCAGCCGCCGGCCGTCCCGGTAGGAGCAGTAGCTGGAGCGCAGACCAGCCAGGTACGTGTCCCCGTTGGCGCCGATCAGGATGTGCGACGCCCGCACACTCCTGCGGATAGAGGGCACAGGGAATCGCCAGGCGTCAGCGGTACAGTCAGATACGGGCAGCGAGTGAAATTACAAAGATTTCATCGCTGAAGTTTCCTGATAAAGTAATAACTAGTCCATGCACGTACCGTGAATGCCTCCTACACTGTGGTGCTCGAGCTATAAACAGTAAACACCTCACCCCTCATTAGCATATTATGTTAACCAGCCAGTATATGTATCCACAGATTTCCTCGATGCTAGCTCCGCCTAGCGCTCACCGGTGTGCGTATCCCTGCGAGTGGAGAGGGCGGAGCGTGCGTCCGCCAACCATCAGTGCTGAGTGCATGTCTCCCCAGGTTTCATCGGTGCATTTTTACAGCCCATCCCATCTCACCGGCGTAAAGAGGTGCTCTTTTTGGGGATCCAGGTAACCCGACCCCCGCTCCCCGCCCCGCAACCCTTCTCCAGGTACCCACAACTACCCGCATGGGGAACTTCAGTGGTAGCAGCCCGCAACAACCCGCATAACACATTTTCCCCATTTCCATTAAAAATATCTTTAAATAGGTTCATTCTCAAATAATGTCAAATGTTTAATCAAATGCACATTGCAGGTGTACAAACCATTAAGTATTCATGATCAAGAATTGTCCACGTCAATATTCTACAAATCACAAGAAGAGAAAAAATTGGATATTTTGCAACCGCATAAAACCCCCACCAGAGAATTTCCTGGTGATGCAACCCGCTTAAACCCATGCGGGTTTTGTCGACCCGCTCATTGCGGGCTGGCGGGTCGGGAAAAAGAGCACCTCTACCGGCGTATGTCTCCCTAGTTTCACCAGTATTGGTCACCCCAGTCTCACCAGTGTATTGTCTCCTTGGTCCTTACCGGTGCACGTATCCCTGCGAGTGAAGGTAGTCGAGCGCGCGTCCGCCTAATCTCACCTATGGAGCCCTGACCAGAGTGGTATTACCGCTCGCCTGATCTTACCAGTGTATATTTCCTTAGCACTTACCGGTGCACGTATCCCTGCGAGTGGAGGTAGTCGAGCGCGCGCACCACGTCGCGCAGTATGAGCGCGATGGCGCGCTCGGGCAGTCCCTCGGTGAAGTGGGCGGCCAGCAGGTCCTTGGTGGAGCCGTAGCCGCACAGGGGCTCCACCATCCACAGCTCGGTGCCGCTGACGAAGGAGCTGAGACAGGGCATCAGTCGGGCGTGCCGCAGCTGGCGCATCGCCTGACTCTCGTGCTGCCGGCGGAGAGAGGGGCGCGCGGTCAGAACTGGTCCCGGCAGAACGGGAAAATCCATCCAACATTGTGCGAGGGAGAGAGCTCTAAATATGCAATTCTGACTAAACAAACAGCTTAATGAGATCATATTTCTACTTCATTGATAGTTACACATGCAACATATTAAAATCATCGTAATAAATGTCACACCTTCATTACCGTTTAGTTCGTGTAGATAAAAACACAATCAGATAAAAGTAAACACCGGTTAAAAACATACAACACGACAACGCACGACAAAGCACGATAACATTCTTCTCACCTGCAAGATGGACAGGACCTCAAAGCTGCACTTGTCGACATCGTACTTTTTGACGGCCACCAGGTTACCGGAGGCGGCGTGCCTGGCCAGCCACACTGAGCCGATGCCGTTGAAGCAGTGACCCACCATTGTGAGCACCCGGTACGCCGTCGGCGTCATCTCGTGGTTGTGCATTGCAGCCGTGTGTGGTGAGCAGTAGACGGGCAAACTGTGGGCGGCACCGAACAACCGTCAGCCATTATGCATTGTGTTTGGGGCCTAGTCTATTTGTGTGGGTATTATGTTTTATTTTTGTATCAGAAGTGAGGTTTAGTATTAGTGAGCTGAGCTTCAAAGGCAAAAGTCGCGGAAGTTGCTGGTCAGGTTCTGATCTCAACAACTTATTGAGAAACTCTGTGTCCGCAGCAGTGTTAAAGTTGAACTCATCTAAATATCCAACCAGCATTAACCCTCGCCTGCACATGTCATTTTCCCATCCGAGAACGCACATGGGGGGGATGCCACCCCCGCGCCATTTCGTTTCTGCTGGAGATAGAGCTTCACGGCAAAGACCAACAGGTTCTTTGGGAAGAGACGATTCCAATGGTACCCAATTTACCTCATTAGGTCAATCATTGACTTTCCAGGTCAGGTCAAACTAAAAATGTTGCTGTTTGGGGCCACCGTCGGAATACCATGTGCTGTGCCCATCATTTACCGATGACGCTGCCGTTTGTGGTGAGACTCTGCCGTTTGTGGCTGTGGTCATTTCAGGCCATGTTCGGTCAAGGTCAATGACGTGTGTTTGTATGTCGGGGATGGTTGCTGGGAGGCTCTTCAGAGACTTTTCATAAACGGGTGGCAGCCTGTGAGACGCTGTAAAATTTATTATAACGATGGAACTGAGTTTAGTTAGTCATGGATAGAACATAATCCATGGTTTAGTCGCTATCCACTGCTTTTCTGAATTTTCTAAGAAACGAAGGCGAGGGCCGTCATGTCCGTTCAACTCCTCTGCTGACTGCTCTCAATTCAAAATGAAATCTTCGACTTATTGAAACAAAAATTGACAAATAGAACTCATTCTTAAAACAAAAAGTACAGGTCCGTACAAAATAACCAACCATAAACAAAATCCATAAATTCGTACAACACAGTACAACTGTACAACACGTCTGCGCGCCGCCGCCCGTTTCCAACAGGGCTACCAACGGTAATTTTTCTAAATCCCAAGATCGCCGCGCGAATTTCCCAAAATCGAGCTCCATATCCCCACGGTGACTATAAATACGGTGATCTCATCTGGATTTGGTCACGTGATCATTTTCGAGCGCAGCGCACGTGCAGTTGTGGCGAGGGCACTTCCAGAAATTCTGGATCCATGCGATTTTGGAGCCAATGTAAAGTCTATGGGAAAATGGTTCATTTTTATTTGTTTTTCTTGTCACACCTAAACTTTCAAGTTTTTCTCAAAGATTCACCCTGATTCATGTGTAGAATTGATTGGTCTTTAACATGGTATCAATTTTAGATTTTTATCGGATAATTTCAAAAATTACTTACCATTTAAACTACCAAAAGAGGTGATTGCGGCTAAGCATTGTGACAGCCATATCATGTCATTGGGAAATTACGCTTTCTTGTGCATCTCCATTTTAACTGTTCTCGAAGTTAGTACCTACTGGATGATTCATGCGTGGAATTTGTTGAACTTTTGTCTTGTGTCACTGTTAATGCCTTTATGAAATAATTATTCAAGTAATTTCGCCCCGGCCGACATGGACGCCGTTGTGAGCCGGTTTTGGCGTCGGGGAGAGGGATAGGGAGAGGGAGGGAGGGAGGGAGGGAGGGCGAGAGAGAGAGAGAGAGAGAGAGAGAGAGAGAGAGAGAGAGAGAGAGAGAGAGAGAGAGAGACGGAGACGGAGACGGAGACGGAGACGGTGACGGTGACGGTGACGGTGACGGAGACGGAGACGGAGACGGAGACGGAGACGGAGACGGAGACGGAGACGGAGACGGAGACGGAGACGGAGACGGAGACGGAGACGGAGACGGAGACGGAGACGGAGACGGAGACGGAGACGGAGACGGAGACGGAGACGGAGACGGAGACGGAGACGGAGACGGGGAGAGAGAGAGAGAGAGAGAGAGAGAGAGAGAGAGAGAGAGAGAGAGAGAGAGAGAGAGAGAGAGAGAGAGAGAGAGAGAGAGAGAGAGAGAGAGAGAGAGAGAGAGAGAGAGAGAGAGAGAGAGAGAGAGAGAGAGAGAGAGAGAGAGAGAGAGAGAGAGAGAGAGAGAGAGAGAGAGAGAGAGAGAGAGAGAGAGAGAGAGAGAGAGAGAGAGAGAGATAAAGACCAGGGGCCATCGGTGAGGCGGGAGCTCCACGACAGGTACTGGGAGCGGGCTCGCCTTTTCCTCGTAGTGGCCCATCAAGGCTGGGCGGCGGCGGTACTAGTTTCGCAAGAGACAGAGACATGGAGCGACTCGGGACTCGTCTCAGTCCGGCCGCCACCCAGCCGCCCGCCGCGCCTGGCCGGGCTGCTGCTTCGCCGGCCGGATGGCGCGGGCGGCCCTCCCGGCTCCTGCCCGTCTGGGATGCGCTTCCCATCCGCAGGGCGTCGGCGGCGCCCAAGAGGCACAAGAATAACGGCGGTGCTGCGGGCGGCTTGTGGGGTGACGGTGCCGCGCTCCTTCCCCGGCTCCTCGCCGTCCGTCCCCCCTCCCCGGTGCCGTTTTCTTCCAGGGGAGGTGCCCCGGCCGCCGTGCCGGGGCGTAGCGCAGTCCGTGCTTTCAGCACAGCAAAATATCCACCCAGGCTAGATTAAGGTAATGACAAACTAGGATTAAGAGTGGCTACAGATTTCAGACTTTATGCAAACTTAACATTAAGATATTATATATGCAACTAAACACATGGTGTTTGTTCTAACCTAACACATGGTGTTTGTTCTAACCTTCTCAACAGAAAGTGAACATGTCAGGACAGCACCCCTTGGTGACCATTATACTCAAGGGGTGTAGGCACTGATCCCCCAGGGGCGAAGTGATAGGAGCACAAACATGAGTCACTAGTTAGCTCTGTGTCTTTCCTCCTGCAGGAAAAATATATGTGTGATGCCCAATGTGACTGGTACCTGCATATTATAAAGCTGGAAATATTGTACAAAGTTATGACAACACAAGCAAACAATGCATGTTACTGCTCTTGTTATTCCTATATGAGACCTCACAAGACACAAAAATATGCATGGTAAAAAAGGGAGCAACAATACATTTCAAATGTAGCTTGTCATTAAAATGATCATGGATTTCACTACCTACATCAAAAGTGAATGAAATTAAGTGATAATCAAAGACTCTGGAAAAGAAGATCAGCATAACCATAGATATGTAGACTACATAGGTATGTCTTGTTTCCAAAGCTAAAGTATGATCCTCAATGTTGTAAAAGTTGGTTGGCTTTTACAATAACTTTGAATAAAAAACAACATATGGTAAACACAATTCAAGGAAATGCCAAGATCCATCCAACCTTTGACATGCCCTGTTTGGAATGCTGTTAAACATGCTAAGATCTTCTCAGAATAGGAAAAATCAACTCAAAATATTACCTTCTTTTATTACAAATAAAATCCCCATGAATTTCACAGTATTGTGACTGCAGAGCTCATTCAGTCAATCAGAGACTGTGCAGAGACTTCATCATTCAAACAGAGAATCAATGTGCAGAGACTAACACTTTAAAATCTACAGACTTTTCACAAACATCTTTCATGCTACAAGCTTATGCCTACTCAACACTTTTTTCATGACTCAAATATGGTGGTGTTCATTTTAAGTGAAAACATTCATCCAGCACTAAGCAGATTATTTCTAAGCTCCACTAAGTCCCAATTTCTCCTATATTTCGCTTGGAGTCACTTCATAGTTTGAATTCAAGGTGCCTTGCGGATTTACCTCAGTTATGTAGATAAATACACAAGGATTTATGGGCTTTACCTCAGTTATGTAGCTGCTCCCTTAAATTAAGTTTCTCGTTAAATTTCATTGAGGCGTTGCAAGATGGGCTGTAGCAAAATTCTCTTTCCTGTTTAGCTGATGCTCATAATACCTCAACATTTTTCATTCCAATTTTTGTAGCTGTTAACAATTGATAAAGACCCATCTACCTAGACAACAATGACGTTACAGAGGAAACCCCTGGCTGTGTTTCACGGGCGCGCTGCCAGCTGCTGCCAGCGCATTTCGTGAGCTAGCATCAATCTCCGGTAGTGTTGGAGATATTGGCTTGTTGATGTCTCTATGTAAGCCAAAAATGGCTGGCAGAGTGCCGCGAAACACCACCCTTATTTTTGCACAATAATGGTGTGATAACTGTTCCTGCAAGAAAATATAAGGTGAAATGAAGTAAAATCAGGTCAAACATTAATATATGCCCAAAAGAAGCAGTGTATGGAGTACCAATGTTCACATTACCAATAATATGATGCACAACAGGCCATAGAAAAACCGGTGAATGTTGAATTGTAACCCAATTTCAATATCAATATTGCACTTGGCATTAGCAGTAAAACATACCGTTTTTGATGTTAAATCAACAGAAAAAACTCCTGAACATAAACAAAATGATCAGAATATATAATAAGGATAATAGTATAAATAAAAATCGACGAATCGGCCTATCATCGCCCATAACATTCACCACACCCCAATCCCCATTCCACGCACAGATTGTTTACCCCTTGGTTTACCCCGTGTTCACAGTCTCCCGGACGACGAAGACTCTATCCGTCGTCCGACCAATCACGTTCAAGATCAGCGGGGCTTGGCCCCGGTTCTCGAACGCCATTGGCCAGATCACGCAGAATCTTCGTCGTCAGGAAAACTGTGAACACGGTGTTACATTTTTCGCTATGGTAACAAAAGCGCCAGAATTGACTACCAGAATTGGATCCGAAGGTCAAATGGGTCACGTGACTGTCAAGTTCAGATGGACAACACCTGCATATCCCAAGGTCGACAGGATCAACGCCCAATGTGCATCCCAAGGTCTATTAGAAACCAAATATAGAGCAAATTAAGTGTATTTGACGTATTTTCAAATCTTTGGTTGACTAAATAAATCAATGTCAATATTTTACCCTCGGCGAATGTGTGTTTAATGGTATGTGAAATGAATGGTATTTAAAGTTGATTAGGAAACAAAATCTGGAAGGTGTACCGTTCCCTTTAATCAAACACATACATGATACATCTACGGTTTTTGATCGTAAGAAGAATGTAGCTATCACCACGCACTACATTTAAGAAGGTAATATTTGATGAAGAGTTTAGGAGAAGAAAACCGCGATTCACAAGCACTATTGCTGTAAAAGGCACTTACAGAGCTACGAAGGCCGCAGTCGCTCCCTTGCACGTTCCATCACAGACGACACTGAGTTCTGACTTCTGACCTTCTGAGCCTGCACCCTCCACTCTCCAGAAAGACGAGCCGAACTCGAGACGGGTCGAGGGCGTCGCCGCCGCCCGCCGGCCGCAATACGATACGAGTTGAAGCATGATCCGTCGCAGTGGCGGATCCAGGGGAGGGGGCAAAATGGGCATTTGCCCCCCCCCCCCAAACGGCATAGTTTTAACATTACACCTATGGACGATGCATGGAAAAAATCGATAAATTTTATGGTTTGCCCCCCCCAAAAAAAAACTCTGAGCTGGATCCGCCTCCGATCCGTCGGGCGTCGCAATTCGCAAACAGGCGGCCAGGCCGGGTGTTACGACGCGGAAGCCACTGGGTATTTCGCTAACTGCCTCACTTGAGAGCTGAGACGGGAGAAACAAAGTGAAGACGCGTCAAAGAAGGATAAGTTATTCGTGCTTCGTTGGTTGCTTGGTAAGGTACAGTCACCAGCACTTGCTACTAATCACCTCGTTTTTGCTCAGTAGTTTGAAGACCGATCAATTCTCAGTCGAGCAAGATACGTCAAACGATCGGTTTGGTCCTCCGATTTTCGAATATCTAACTTGTTTTTGTATGTTCGAAGCATTTTGGGATGAGGAGCCAAAAAACGTCTTTTCTGCCCTAAAGTTACCCCAAGAAGTCGTAGAACCTAGCCCCGCCTCTGATCCACAGACCACTAGTGCCATCTCTTGTCAGCCGAACAAACCGCGGAAGTAAACAATGTCACGTGACCTTTGCACACGCTACAATTACTACGCAGTTGTAATGGGGGAAGCGGGGCGGAGGCGCGGAGAGGGACGCGATCGGTCCGGTCGGC